ACTCGCCCCATCACCAGGAGTTTTTGCGCTCAATTACTCGCCAATGCACCAGCTGCTGAGAATAACAAGGTTGGTCTTTTTAACCCAAATGTTCAATCTTTCACTTGATTCTTTCTGCTCTTCTTTGCTAACAACTGGTTTCTTTTGTTCCTTTGAGTCACAGAAACAAGTTTATGTTAATGTGGATAAGACGCCTGTTCTTGTTGAGGGACTTCCGGTGGGTAAAAAACCAGTGGCCACAAAGGCAGCTCAAAAGAAAGTCTCTGTTTTGCAATTGAGTGAATACTAGATGGAGATTGTGCTAGAGCTCATTTTTTTCTGCTTTGAAATAATTTCTTTTATTGTTTGAATACTTGAATTTATAGTGAAATGAGTATCTGTATTTGATTAGTTAAGTTCGGAATTGCCAACGCATTGCAACAGTTTGGCATGAAAGAGTTTTAGTAGTTTGTTAGGGCTTAGATGAGATGAGTCCCCTCGGTAAGATTCTTTTCTGTGTAAAATAACATAATGAATATTCAACTACTTATTATTAGCTTAAAAGGATACATATTTATATACACTTGTAGTGTTCTAAACTAGGTAGGTGATCAATCTAAATTAGGATAGAAGTGATCCCTATAATAAAGGATTTTAATGTGATCCCCATATCTAGGAAGTCATGTACATCTGTAACACTCCCCCTCAAGCTGGAGTATAGATATCAATCATACCAGCTTGTTACAAAGATATCAACTCGAATCCCAGTTAGAGCCTTTGTGAAGTATCTCCCAATTGTTCTCCAGTCTTCACATACCCAGTGGAAATCAGACCTTGTTGTAGTTTCTCACGGACGAAATGGCAATCGATCTCAATGTGTTTTGTTCGTTCATGGAACACTGGATTAGTGCAATATGAAGAGCCGCGTGGTTATCACACCATAATTTCGCTGGTACTGAAGTTTCAAGGTCTATTTCAGTCGGGAACTGATATATCCACATTATTTCACAAACAGCTTGTGCCATAGCCCTATATTCCGACTCTGCACTTGATCGTGACACAACATTCTGCTTCTTACTCTTCCATGATATTAAATTTCCTCTGACAAAGACACAATAGCCTGATGTGGATCTTCTATCTACCTTGGAACCTGCCCAATCTGCATCTGAGAAACATTCAATATGAGGTGACTATGATTGACATATAATATACCAGTCCAGGGGCTCTTTTCAAAACAACAAGATCTGCTCCAAAGCCGCCCAATGATGAACTGTTGGGGAGGCCATAAACTGACTGACAACACTTACTGATATGCAATATGGACGAGTTCGTAAGATAGTTCAACTTCCCGACCAATCTTCTATATTTCTCAGGATCTCCAAATAGTTCACCATCCTTCGTAAGCTGCACATTAGGAACCATCGGAACACTACATGGCTTTGCCCCAATTTCCCTGTCTCAGTTAATAAGTCGAGCACATATTTCCTTTGGAGAGGTATATACCTCGTTTGCTCCTTGTAACTTCAACCCCTAAGAAATACTTCAATATCCCTAAGTCTTTTGTGTGGAACTGGGTATGGAGAAAAGACTTAAGAGATGTGATGCCCACACTGTCACTCCCAGTAATAACAATATCATCCACATACACAACTAGAAGAATGATGCCAGTTTCAGACCGTTGTAGAAAACAGAATGGTCAATTTTACATTTCAGAATACCAAATCTCTCAACAGCCTGACTAAACTTTCCAAACCAAGCACGAGGACTCTGTTTAAACCATACAGAGATTTGCGAAGATAACATACTTCCCATACTCCCCCTGAGCAACAAACCCAGAAGGTTGCTCCATATATACCCCTTCTTGAAGATCGCCATGAAGGAAAGCATTCTTGATGTCTAGCTGATGAAAGGCCATCATAAGTAGCTGCCATAGAGATAAACAGCCGAATAGAGGTAAACTTAGCCACAGGGGAAAAAGTATCAGAATAATCAACTCTGTAAGTCTGAGCATATCCTTTAGCAACCAGACGAGCTTTTAGTCGAGCAACTGACCCATCTGGATTAACTTTAACTGTAAACACCCATTTGCATCCAATTACCCGTTTTCCTGAGGTAATCTACCAATTTCCAAGTACCATTGTCATCTAAGGCATTCATTTCTCTATCATTGCATTACGCCAACCAGGATGAGAAAGGGCTTCATGAAAGTTTTAGGGATAGTAATAGAATCAAGGGAAGCAATAAAGGAACATGAGAATGTGACAAATGATCATAAGAAACACAAGAGGAAACAGGATAAGTACACTGTCGTTTACCTTTTCGCAATGCAATAGGAAGATCATCACTTGAAACTGGATCGGATGACGAAGAAGTTGGTGCCGGACATGAAACAGGAGGAGGTGGACGATGAGAGTAAACTTTGACAGGAGCAGGAGCAGGATCAGAGATAGGAGCCGATGTAGGAATCGTAGGAATAGTGACAGGGTCAGAGACAGATGCTGGTTCAGATATTGGTGCAGGGGAAGTGAAGGTATAAACTAACAAATCATCATACTCACATCCTCGGACGATCTGCGGAGAAAGGGAAAGTATGTGTTTCTTCTAGAAAGGTAACATCAATGGAAACAAGATACTTATTAAGACTTGGAATAACACCGATATCCTTTCTGAAGTCGAGAATAACCAAGAAAGCACATTTAATGACTTGGGATCTAATTTAGTGACTGATGGTCGAACATCCCGAACAAAGCAATTGCTACCAAATACCCTAGGTTCAAGAGGAAATAATGCTTTGTTAGAAAAAGAATACTGTACGGGTCTCACCATGAAGGACAGAAGACGGCATGCGGTTAATCAAAAAACAGGCGGTGGAAACGGCATCAGCCCAGATGGTTTAGGAACATTCATCTGGAATAATAAGGCTCTGGCAGTTTCAAGAAGACGTCTGTTTTTCCGTTCTGCTATTCCGTTTTGAGATGGAGTATCACACATGAAGTGTGATGAAGAATGCCATTCTGGGTCATGTAATTTTGAAAAGAAACTGACAGATATTCTTTTGCATTATCATGCGCAATGTATGAATAGAAACATTGAATTGAGTTTTAATCTCAGTACAAAAAGCACAGAAATAAGAAACAAATCAGAACGATTTTTTATTAAGATAACCAAGTCATACGAGAGTAATCGTCCATAAATGTAACAAAATATCTAAAACCAGTTTTAGACAGAAGTGGACAAGGACCCCAAACATCAGAGTGAACTAACTCAAAGGGAGAATTAGCTCTTTTATTGACTCTAGGACTAAAACTGACACGATGATTGTTTAGCAAACTGACATGACTCACACTCTAATGTAGACACTTTATTAAACTGAGACACAATCTTTTCAGTGAAGGAAGAGATGGATGGCCCAAACGACAATGTGCTTGAAACGGGGATGCAACACTAGAACAAGCGACAGGTGTAGATTTTGGTCTGTCGAGAATGTATAAACCTCCAGATTCATGTCCTTTACCAATAATCTTCTTCGTCGTAAGATCCTGAAACAAGCAATAATCGGGAAAGAATAAAACACAACAGTTAAGAGCACAAGTAAGTTGGCTAACAGAAATCAAATTGAAAGAAAAATCTGGTAAATGTAGACATTTGACAAGGGAAGCTGTGGAGTAGGGGTAACTGTGCCAGACCAAGAACGTAGGATGGAAACCATCTGCTAAAGTCACATTCGAAAGGGTTTTTGATTGATAAGTGACAAAGAGACTGGGATTACCTGACAGTGTGATCTGTTGCACCAGTGTCAATGACGAATTTGGAGGATGAGGAAAAGAGACATGTATTTGGCTTACTGAGTCAGCCATAGCCGTGACAGGAGTAGGTGAAGCCTTTAATGATTCCTGGTACAATGAAAACTTGGCAAATTCATCTACAAGTAGATAAGAACTGACTGATCCGAAGTATCTTGGTGGATGCAACATGGGCAGAGGGATGTATTTATTCTGTTCTGAAGCTTTCTACAATCACGCTTCATGTGTCCTGGCTTATGGCAATAGTGACACACAATTCCTCCCATATTACTATTTGACCCTCCTCCTTTGTTGCCACTTCCAAATTGTGATGGCCCAGATTCATAGTCATTCTTTTGACTGACGAGAGCACTACTAAACTGAACCGGTGGGGTACCTTCTGTGCGAAGTACCCTACTAAAGACATCCTGCAATGAAGAGATCTCTGGACTGGCTAGAACCTGAGATTTAACAGTCTCAAATTCAGAAGGAAGACCTGCAAGAAAACTCATGACTGCTATTTGCTCCCGTTGTTTTTGTTGAACTTTGACATCAGCACTGAAGGGTAACAACATGTTCAACACTTCATAAGTCTTCTTAAACTCCATAAAATAAGCTGTAAGTGACTTATCTTGTTTCTCTGCTCGGTAGAATGCCTTACACACTTCATAAATATGAGAAACATTCCTTTTTCCAGAATACAGAAACTCCAAATAATCCATCAGTTCTTTAATAAACTCACAATGATTAATTAGGCCAAGTACCTCACCGTCAATAGAGTTCCGTATTTGTAGAATCAACCGAGCATCATCCCGGAGCCATGTCTTTTTCAAATCATCCTCAAGTGGATCATCAGTCATATGATCATCTTTATCAATACTCCGGAAATACAGTATAATAGTTTTACGCCAATCATGGTAATTAGTTATACCAATGAGCTTATGTTCTGTAATTTTCGACATCGTCAGTATCATTTCCATTACTGGCTTTGTATTAGACATGTCTTAAACAGATGTTAATCCCAATGCACACCACCAAACGGTTAAAACAAAGCAAACTAATTAAATTTCAGTGACACACCAAATCAATCAACAGTCACCACCAACCAGAGGCCACAACAAGCAAAAAACCAATAACCAAACGAAAACAAAGTGCCGAAAGATCACAACTAAGTCCTCAGAAATATCCAAACAAAGAACATCAATAAACCAGTAAGAGATTACCCAATCCAGCACGAAAATGTGCTGTAAAAGTACCGACGAAGCAGACAAAGAGAATCGGAGGAGAAGTCAGTTGTGCACGCGCTCTCACGCACCGGCGCGTGTTACTGTTCACCAGAGTTTCGGGTGGCACGTGGAGCTCACGCGCGGTGATTCTGATGACCGGAACTCAGGGTTTTGCCGATCGGCGGCTTCTGAATCTCCCTTGGGTGGCGGTGTTGAACAAATCTCAACCTAAACAGGTTTTCCCAATTTGAAACCTAAACCTTAATTTCCCAATTTTGAAACCTAAACCCTAATATCCCAAATTTGAGACCCAAACCCTACTTATCTTTTAAGGCTCTGATACCATGTAAAATAAACGTAATGAATATTCACACTACTTATTATTAGCTTAAAAGGATACATATTTATATACACTTGCAGTGTTCTAAACTAGGTAGGTGATCAATCTAAATTAGGATAGAAGTGATCCCTATAATCAAGGATTTTAATGTGATCCCCATCATCTAGGAAGTCATGTACATCTGTAACACTTAGCAATAAACTTATATGTTTATTTAGCAAATATAGATGTTAGCTCCCTTAAACTGTCCAGATCTTTTTATTTGTTCCTATTTTATTCTCATGAATCTACTTTGATCATGCACAATGATCCGAATCCAGGACCCAGTCTGGTGCTCGATGTCACCCCAGAAAAGATTGAGAGATTCTCATTTGATCCCTGTAAGATCTTATCAATGATCTATAATTCATTTTTTCCCTATAATTTAACCATTTGAATTGGTACATTTGTTTTGCAATTGAGTGAATACTACATGGAGAATGTGCTGGAGCTCATCTTTTTTCTGCTTTGAAATAGTTTCTTTTATTGTTTGGATACTTGAATTTTTTGTAGTGAAATGAGTATCTGTATTTGATATTGAAGTTCGGGATTCCTCGGTGCACTCTTGCTAGCTTGCTGGTTTATAATGTGAAGGTCTTAAGAGATGTACTGTTAGGGAAGAGAGGGCCAATTGCAGATGCATTTGTTAGTTTTCTCTGCTTGCTTTCAAGCCCAACTGATTGCTCTCTGTTTCTTGTTGTGTCCAGAATTAGTTATGGACTGTACCATTGGGTCAGGTCCAGTTATGGCCTCTAGACTGATCCATGGTATATAATGAAGGTAATATTATTTTCCAGTACCCTGGTATGCATTGTGAGTTAGCTCATTTTAAGGACTAAATATTAATCAGATAACAATTGGGCAGATCCTAAATGTTGCAGTTGCACTGTTGGTGAGCAGCCACGTGAACAGGTTAGCTGAAGGAGTATCCTTGGCATGCGAAACACTATTATCAGTAAAAGCTCTTAAGACACTGGATTTGTGGATACATATTTCCAAGGTTAGTACTATTACAATCTAGATCTTAGTTGATTTTGCCTCAGTATTTTCCTGTGTGGACTTGATTGAAACAGAATATGTAAGAAGATCTGGCAGATTAACACAAGATAATTGTTCTGATTAAGCGAAGGAATAAGTGATTAGAAAAGGAAAAGTAGCCCCATGCGACCTGAGTCGCTCAATGGTTAGTTGACAAGGAACTTCTTTGTAAGTAATCTCACTGGGAGATGTTGTTGTTTAGTCCTATATTGGATTGAAAGTTGGATAAATAGTAGGGTCATTGTGATAGACCTCATGTTACTAAAGCCTACCAATTAAAGGGGAAGTATGCTAGGAAGGTGGAAGGGTTGGATGGTGTGGTTGACATTGTCGGAACGGGTGGTGATGGTGCAAACACAGTGAACATTCCTACTGGTGCTTCAATACTTGCTGTGGTTTGTGTTGCAAAAGTTGCTGAGGTTGGAGTAATTTTCATCCTTATGAAATGCCTTACAATATTTTCCTAATATGATGTTTAGGGACCTAATGTATGCTACAAACTATAACTGTTCGATTATTTGCTGAACAGCATGGAAGTCGTTCTAGCTCTTGTGCATGTGGAAGTGCTGATGTGTTAGAAGCTTTAGGTGTAGTTCTTGACTTGGGACCATAGGTAGGTGCTCATGAATCAAGTTATATTTTTGTCAAATAATTGATGTTATAGTATGGTGTTATTCATGTATTTGTGGCTAATTCCTCTATGTGTTACCAATTATTTGCTATTGTAGACCGTACTTCTTCCCATAACAAATACTTGGAACTCAAATGATACAAAGAAAATGGTCAGTGTCTCAAATTGATATGCTTCATGGTTTCAACATTAACAATAGTAATGATGAATTGCATCCTTTTTTTGGAATTAAATGGCCTCCTCATTCCCTGTCAAAGAGTTTATTGGACATTAGGCTAATTTTTTGGCAATTTTTGGATCAAAACCTTACCAAGCATTAGCTGTTTTGCTGTAATTGAGTTCTTGCAGCAAATCTTGCCCTTTCTCTTGTTGGTTTTTTTCGCAGCAGACTTCATAAACCACAGATTAGGTTGAAAATCAGTCCACTGAGTTGTTGGTCTATTCAACCTTTGAACACGAATTTTGAACAGAACTTTATCTATAATATATGCTATTGGCTCAAACTTTTTTCTCTTGTTTATTTCTTGAACACAGGATGTAACAAGGTGTGTAAATGAGGAAGGGATTGGTTTCATGATTTCTCCAAAGTATCATCCAGCAATGAATATTGTTAGGCCAGTGAGGAAAATGCAGAAAGTAGAAACTATATTCGATATCTTGGGCCCCATGTTGAATCCTGCGTGGGTGCCTTTCGCTGTGGTTGGTGTATACACTGAAGACTTGGTAAGTGCCTTTACAGTGCGCTGTAGCCATAAACTAAATATCATATCCTATGTGAAGATTTCTCTTAATTCAACATCATTAACCAAAACATTTCTTGATCATTTACTTCTTGTTAAAATTTCAATGTCTTGGCCGATAAAAGGTTACAGTAGTAACTCACTCTAGAGTTGTAAGGCATCTAATTTTCTTGAGTTATTTTGAGAGGTTCTTTGTGCTTTTCAGATTAAACAATAAATTTAGCTGCAAGATTATTCATGTATGTATCCAACCATATTCTCTTTTCATTTGTTCCACGGCAATTATGATGTCGATCAATCTTGCATTGTGTAATGGCTTTATAATAATATCATGAGTTGTTTGATTTGGTAAAGAAAGCTTTGGCTGTATTTGACTGGTGAGTAACTTGCCATGTTTGGGAGTCTCTTTTTGGTTTTCTAGTTAGGTACTCAAAATTGCCAACGCGTTGCACCGATTTGCCATGAAAAGAGCATTAGTTGTTGACTCAGAGGGCTTAGATGAGATGAGTCCCCTTGGTAAGATTCTTTATGGGCAATAAGCATATATGTTTATTAAGCAAATAGAGATGTTAGCTCCCTTAAACTGTCTAGATCTTTTTATTTGTTCTACTTTGATCATGCACAATGATCCAAATCCAGGACCTGGTCTGGTGCTTGATGTCACCCCAAAAAAGATTGAGAGATTCTCATTTGATCCCTGTAAGATCTTATCACTGTTGTATAATTCATTTTTTCCTATAATTTAACCATTTAAATTGGGACATTTGTTTTGCAATTGAGTGAATACTAGATGGAGATTGTGCTAGAGCTCATCTTTTTTCTGCTTTGAAATAGTTTCTTTTATTGTTTGAATACTTGAATTTTATTGTGAAATGAGTATCTGTATTTGATGGTGAAGTTTGGAATTCCTCGGTGCACTCTTGCTAGCTTGCTAGTTTATAATGTGAAGGTCTTAAGGGATGTAATGTCAGTTGCAGATGCATTTGTTAGTTTTCTCTACTTGCTTTCAAGCCTAACTGAATGCTCCCTATTTCTTGTTGTGTCCAGAATTAGTTATTGTACATATGTACCAGTGGATCAGCTCCAGTTATGGCCTCTAGACTGATCCATGGTATATAATGAAAGTAATATTATTCTCTAGTACCCTGGTATGCACTGTGACTTAGCTCATTTCAAGGACTAACTATTAATCAGATAACAATTGGGCAGATCCTAAATGCTGCAGCTGCAGCTGCACTGTTGGCGAGGAGCCATGTGAACAACTTAGCTGAAGGGGTATCCTTGGCATGCAAAACACTATTATCAGGAAAAGCTCTTAAGACACTGGATTTGTGGATACATATTTCCAAGGTTAGTACTAGTACAATCTAGATCTTAGTTGATTTTGCCTCAGTATTTTCCTGTGTGGATTTGATTGAAGCAGAACATGTAAGAAGATCTAGCAGATTAACACAAGATAATTGTTCTGATTAAGCGAAGGAATGAGGGATTAGAAAAGGAAAAGTAGCCCCATGCGACCTGAGTTGCTCAACGGTTAGTTGACAAGGAACTTCTTTTTAAGTAATCTCACTAGGAGGTATTGTTGTTTAGTCCTATATTGAATTGAAAGTTGGATAAATAGTAGGGTCATTGTGATAGACCTTCAATTATTAAAGTCCACCAATGAAGGGGAAGTTTGCTAGGAAGGTGGAAGGGTTGGATGGTGTGGTTGACATTGTTGGAACGGGTGGTGATGGTACAAACACTCTGAACATTTCTACTGGTGCTTCAATACTTGTCTCGGCTTGTGGTACAAAAGTTGCTAAGGTTGGAGTCATTTTCATCCTTATGCAATGCCTTACAATAATTTCCTAATCTGATATTTAGTGACCTAATTTATGCTACAAACTATAACTTTTTGATTATTTGCTGAACAACATGCAAGTCGTTCTAGCTCTCTTGCATGTGGAAGTGCTGATGTGTTAGAAGCTTTAGATGTAGTTCTTGACTTGGGACCGGTGGTCGGTGCTCATGAATCAAGTTATTTGTTGTCAAATAATTGATGTTATAGAATGGTGTTATTCATGTATTTGTGGCTAAGTCGTCTGTGTTACCAAGTATTTGCTATTGTAAACAGTTCTTCTTCCCATAACAATTAGCTCAAACTCAAATGATACAAAGAAATTGGTCAGTGTCTTAACTTGATGTGCTTCATGGTTTTAACATTAACAATTGTAATGATGAATTGCATGATAGATTGCATCGTGTTTTTTTTTTTTTTTTTTTTTTTGGAATTAATTGGCCCTCTCACTCCCTATCAAAGAGTTTATTGGACATTAGGCCAATTTTTGGGCAATTAATGGATCAAAACCTTACCAAGCATTTTTTTTGTTTTGCTATAATTGAGTTCTTGCAGCAAATCTTACCTTTTCTCTTTTTGGTATTTTCATAGCAGACTTCATAAACCACAGATTAGGTTGAAAATCAGACCACTGAGTTGTTTGTCTCTTCAACCTTTGAACATGAATTTAGAACAAACTTTATCTATAATATATGCTATTGGCTCAGACATTTCTCTTATTTATTTCTTGAAAACAGGATGTAAGAAGGTGTGTAAATGAGGCAGGGATTGGTTTCATGATGTCTCCAAAGTATCATCCAGTGATGAATATTGTTCGGCCAGTGAGGAAAATGCTGAAAGTAAAAACTGTATTCAATATCTTGGGCCCTATTTTGAATCCTGCATGGGTGCCTTTTGCTGTGGTTGGTGTATTCACTGAAGACTCGGTAAGTGCTTTTACAGTGTGCTGTTGCCTTAACATAAATATCATATCCTATATGACGATTTCTCTTAATTCATCATCATTAACCAAAACATTTCTTGATCATTTACATCTTTGTCAAAATTTCAATGTCTTGGCCAATGAAAGGTTACAGTAGTAACTCACTCTAGAGTAGTAAGGCATCTAATATTCTGGAGTTATTTTGAGAGGTTCTCTGTGCTTTTCAGATTAATCAATAAATTTAGCTGCAAGATTATTCATATATGGATCTCTCTTTTCATTTATTCCCCTGCAATTATGATGTCAATGATCTTGCATTGTGTAATGGCTTTATAATAATATCATGAGTTGTTTGATTTGGTAAAGAGAGCTCTAGTTGTTTTTGACTGGTGAGTAACTTGCCATGTTTGGAAGTTTCTTTTTGGTTTTCTTGTTAGGTACTAAAAATTGCCAACACGTTGCAACGGTTTGGCATTAAAATAGCATTAGTTGTTCACTCGGAGGGCTTAGATGAGATGAGTCCCCTTGGTAAGATTCTTTCTCGGCAATAAACATATATGTTTATTTAGGAAATAGAGATGTTAGCTCCGTTAAACCGTCCAGATGTTTTTTGTTCCTCTTTTATTCTCATGAATCTACTTTGATCATGCACAATGATCCGAATCCAGGACCTGGTTTGGTGCTTGATGTCACCCCAAAAAAGATTGAGAGATTCTCATTTGATCCCTGTAAGATCTCATCACTGATCTATAATTCATTTTTTCCTATAATTTAACCATTTGAATTGGTACATTTGTTTTGCAATTGAGTTAATCCTAGATGGAGATTGTGCTAGAGCTCATCTTTTTTCTGCTTTGAAATAGTTTCTTTTATTGTTTGAATACTTTAACCTTATAGTGAAATGAGTATCTGTATTTGATAGTGAAGTTTGGAATTCCTCGGTGTACTCTTGCTAGCTTCCAATGCGAGAGTTTTAAGGGATGTACTATCAGGGAAGAGAGGGCCAATTGCAGATGCATTTTTTAGTTTTCTCTGCTTGCTTCCAAGCCCAACTGAATGCTCCCTATTTCTTGTTGCGTCTAGAATTAGTTATGGTACATATGTACCATTGGATCAGCTTTAGTTATGGCCTCTAAACTGATCCATGGTATATAATGAAGGTAATATTATTCTCCAGTACCCTGGTATGCACTGTGAATTAGCTCATTTTAAGGACTAACTATTAATCAGATAACAATTGGGCAGATACTAAATGCTGCAGCTGTACTGTTGATGAGCAGCCATGTGAGCAGCTTAGCTGAAGGAGTATGCTTGGCATGTGAAACACTATTATCAGGAAAAGCTCTTAAGACACTAGATTTGTGGATAGAGATTTCCAAGGTTAGTACAAGTACAATCTAGATCTTAGTTGATTTTGCCTCAGTATTTTCCTGTGTGGACTTGATTGAAGCAGAACATGTAAGAAGATCTAGCAGATTAACACAAGATAATTGTTCTGATTAAGCGAAGGAGTGAGGGATTGGAAAAGGAAAAGTAGCCCTATGCGACCTAGGTCGCTCAACGGTTAGTTACAAGGAACTTATTTTTAAGTAATCTCACTGGGAGATATTGTTGTTTAGTCCTATATTGGATTGACAGTTGGATAAATAGTAGGGTAATTGTGATAGACCTCCTATTACTAAACTCCACAAATTGAAGGGGAAGTATGCTAGGAACGTGGAAGGGTTGGATGGTGTGGTTGACATTGTTGGAATGGGTGGTGATGGTGCAAACACAGTGAACATTTCTATTAGGGCTTCAATACTTGTCTCGGCTTGTGGTGCAAAAGTTGCTAAGGTTGGACTCATTCATCCTTATGCAATGCCTTACAATAATTTCCCAATATGATATTTAGGGACCTAATTTATGTTGCAAAATATAACTGTTCGATTATTTGCTGAACAACATGGAAGTCGTTCTAGCTTTCTTGCCTGTGGAAGTGCTGATGTGTTAGAAGCTTTAGGTGTAGTTCTTGACTTAGGGACCGGAGGTAGGTGCTCATGAATCAAGTTATTTGTTGTCAAATAATTGATTTTATGGTTTGGTGTTATTCATGTTTTTGTGGCTTATTGGTCTATGTGTTACCAAGTATTTGCTATTGTAGACAGTACTTCTTCCCATAACAATTACTTGGAACTCAAATGATACAAAGAAAATGGTCAGTGTCTCAACTTGATAAGCTTCATGGTTTCAACATTAACAATAGTAATGATGAATTGCATGATAGATTGCATCGTTTTTTTTTTGGAATTAAATGGCCCCCTCACTCCCTGTCAAAGAGTTTATTGGACATTAGGCCAATTTTTGGGCAATTTATGGATCAAAACCTTACCAAGCATTAGTTGTTTTGCTATAGTTGAGTTCTTGCAGCAAATCTGGCCTTTTCTCTTTTTGGTTTTTTCACAGCAGACTTGATAAACCATAGATTAGGTTGAAAATGAGACCACTGAGTTGTTGGTCTACTCAACCTTTGAACACAAATTTAGAACATAACTTTATCTATAATATGTGCTATTGGCTCAAACTTTTTTCTCTTATTTATTTCTTGAAAACAGGGTGTAACAAGGTGTGTAAATGAATTTAGTAATGAATATTGTTAGGCTAGTGAGGAAAACACTGAAAGTAAAAACAGGGTGTAACAAGGTGTGTAAGTGCCTTCACAGTGCGCTGTAGCCATAACATAAATATCATATCCTATATGAACATTTCTCTTATTCAACCATCATTAACCAAAATATTTCTTGATCATTTACTTTTTTGTTAAAATTTCAATGCCGATGAAAGGTTACATTAGTAACTCACTCTAGAGTAGTAAGGCATCTAATATTTTGGAGTTATTTTGAGAGGTTCTCTATGCTTTTCAGATTAATCAAAAAATTTAGCTGCAAGATTATTCATATATGTATCCAACCATATTCTCTTTTCATTTATTCCACTGCAATTATGACGTCAATGGATCTTGCATTGTGTAATGGCTTTATAATAATATCATGAGTTGTTTGATTTGGTAAAGAGAGCTCTGGTTGTTTTTGACTGGTGAGTAACTTGCCATGTGTGGAAGTCTCTTTTCGGTTTTCTTGTTAGATACTCAAAATTGCCAACACATTGCAATGGTTTGGCATGAAAAGAGCATTAGTTGTTGACTCAGAGGGCTTAGATGAGATGAGTCCCCTTGGTAAGATTCTTTCTCAACAATAAACATATATGTTTATTTGCAAATAGAGATGTTAGCTCCCTTAAACTGTCCAAATCTTTTTATTTGTTCCTATTTTATTCTCATGAATCTACTTTGATCAAGCACATGATCCGAATCCAGGACTTGGTCTAGTGCTTGATGTCAACCAAAAAAAGATTGAGATTCTCATTTGATCCCTATAAGATCTTCTCACTGATCTATAATTCATTTTTTCCTATAATCTGACCATTTGAATTGGTACATTTGTTTTGCAATTGAGTGAACACTAGGTGGAGATTGTGCTAGAGCTCATCTTTTTTCTGCTTTGAAATAGTTTCTTTTATTGTTTGAATACTTGAATTTTATAGTGAAATGAGCATCTGTATTTGATAGTGAAGTTCAGAATTCCTCGGGGCACTCTTGCTAGCCAGCTTGTTTATGATGTGAAGGTCTTAAGGGATGTACTGTCAGGGAAGAGAGGGCCAATTGCAGATGCATTTGTTAGTTTTCTCTGCTTGCTTTCAAGCCCAACTGAATGCTCCCTATTTCTTGTTGTGTCCAGAATTAGTTATGGTACATATGTACCATTGGGTCAGCTCCAGTTATGGCCTCTAGACTGATCCATCGTATATAATGAAGGTAATATTATTTTCTCGTACCCTGGTATGCACTGTGAGTTAGCTGATTTTAAGGACTAACTATTAATCAGATAACATCTGGGCAGATCCTAAATGCTGCAGCTGCACTGTTGATGAGTAGCCACGTGAACAGGTTAGCTGAAGGAGTATCCTTGGCATGCTCAACAGTATTATCAAGAAAAGCTCTTACGACATTGGATTTGTGGATAGGGATTTCCAAGGCTAGTACAAGTACAAGTACAATCTAGATCTTAGTTGATTTTGCCTCAGTATTTTCCTATTTGGGCTTGATTGAAGCCAAACATGTAAGAAGATCTGGCAGATTAAGACAAGATAATTGTTTTAATTAAGCGAAGGAATGAGGGATCAGAAAAGGAAAAGTAGCCCCATGCAACCTGAGTCACTCACCGGTTAGTTGACAAGGAACTTCTTTGTAAGTAATCTCACTGGGAGATATTGTTGTTTAGTCCTATATTGGATTGAAAGTTGGATAAATTGTAGGGTCTTTGTGATAGACCTCCTATTACTAAAGTGCACCAATTGAAGGGGAAGTATGCTAGGAAGGTGGAAGGGTTGGATGGTGTGGTTGACATTGTTGGAACGGGTGGTGATGGTGCAAACACAGTGAACATTTCAACTGGTGCTTCAATACTTGCTGTGGCTTGTAGTGCAAAAGTTGCCAAGGTTGGAGTCATTTTCATCCTTATGTAATGCCTTACAATATTTTCCTAATATGATACTTAGGGACCTAATTTATGCTACAAACTATAACTGTTTGATTATTTGCTGAACAGTGTGGAAGTCGTTCTAGCTCTTGTGCATGTGGAAGTGTTGATGTGTTAGAAGCTTTAGGTGTAGTTCTTGACTTGGGACGGGAGGTAGGTGCTCATGAATCAATTTATTTGTTGTCAAATAATTGATGTTATAGTATGGTGTTATTCATGTATTTGTGGCTAATTCGTCTGTGTGTTACCAAGTATTTGCTATTGTAAACAGTATTTCCCATAACAATTACTTGGAACTCAAATGATACAAAGAAAATGGTCAGTGTCTCAACTTGATATGCTTCATGGTTTCAACATTAACAATAGTAACTATGAATGGCATGATAGATTGCATCATTTTTTTTTTTTTTTTTTTGGAACTAAATGGCCTCCTCACTCGCTGTCAAAAGTTTATTGGACATTAGGCCAATATTTGGGCAATTTGTGGATCAAAACCTTGCCGAACGTTAGTTGTTTGTCTATAATTGAGTTCTTGCAGCAAATCTTGCCTTTTCTCTTTTTGGTATTTTCAAAGCAGACTTCATAAACCACAGATTAGGTTGAAAATCAGACCACTGAGTTTTTGGTTAACTCAACCTTTGAACACAAATTTAGAACATAACTTTATTTATAATATATGCTATTGGCTCAAACTATTTTCTCTTATTTATTTCTTGGAAACAGGATGTGACAAGGTGTGTAAATGAGGTAGGGATTGGTTTCATGATGTCTCCAAAGTATCACCCAGTAATGAATATTGTTAGGCCAGTGAGGAAAACGCTGAAAGTAAAAATTGTATTCAATATCTTGGGCCCTATGTTGAATCTTGCACAGGTGCCTTTTGCTGTGGTTGGTGTATACAGTGAAGACTTGGTAAGTGCCTTTACTGTGCGCTGTAGCCATAACGTAAATATCATATCCTGTATGAAGATTTCTCTTAATTCAACATCATTAACCAAAACATTTCTTGATCATTTACTTCTTTGTTAAAATTTCAATGTCTTGGCCGATGAAAGGTTACAGTAGTAACTCACTCTAGGGTTGTAAGGCATCTAATATTCTGGAGTTATTTTGAGAGGTTCTCTATGCTTTTCAGATTAATCAATAAATTTAGCTATAAGATTATTCATATATCTATCCAACCATGTTCTCTTTTCTTTTATTCCATTGCAATTATGATGTCAATGGATCTTGCATTGTGTAATGGCTTTATAATAATATCATGAGTTGTTTGATTTGGTAAAGAGAGCTCTAGTTGTTTTTGACTGGTGAGTAACTTGCCATGTTTGGAAGTCACTTTTTGGTACTCGAAATTGCCAACATGTTGCAACGGTTTGGCATGAAAAGAGCATTAGTTGTTGACTCAGAGGGCTTAGATGAGATGAGTCCCCTTGGTAAGATTCTTTCTCGACAATAAACATAGATGTTTATTTAGCAAAGAGAGATGTTAGCTCCCTTAAACTGTCCAAATTTTTTTATTTGTTCCTATTTTATTCTCATGAATTTACTTTGATCATGCACAATGATCTGAATCCAAGACCTGGTCTGGTGCTTGATGTCACCCCGGAGAAGATTGAGAGATTCTCCTTTGATCCCTGTAAGATCTTATCTCTGATGTATAGTTGATTTTTTCCTATTATTTAACCATTTGAATTGGTACATTTGTTTTGCAATTGAGTTAATACTAGATGTAGATTATGTTAGAGCTCATCTTTTTTCTGCTTTGAAATAGTTTCTTTTATTTTTTGAACACTTTAATTTTACAGTGAAATGAGTATCTGTATTTGATACTGAAGTTCAGAATTCCTTGGTGCACTTTTGCTAACTTGCTAGTTTATAATGTGAAGAGAGGGCCAATTCTAGATGCATTTGTTAGTTTTCTCTGCTTGCTTTCAAGCCCAAATGAATGCTCCCTGTTTCTTGTTGTGTCCAGAATTAGCTATGGACATATGTCCCATTGGGTCAGCTCCAGTTATGGCCTCTAGACTAATCCATGGTATATAATGAAGGTAATATTATTTTCCAGTACCCTGGTATGCACTGTGAGTTAGCTCATTTTAAGGACTAACTATTAATCAGATAACAATTGGGCAGATCCTAAATGCTACAACTGCACTATTGGTGAGCAGCCATGTGAGCAACTTAGTTGAAGGAGTATCCTTGGCATGCGAAACACTAGCTCTTAAGATACTGGATTTGTGGATAGAGATTTCCAGGGTTAGTACAAGTACAATCTAGATCTTAGTTGATTTTGCCTTAGTATTTTCCTGTGTGGACTTGATTGAAGCAGAACATGTAAGAAGATTTGGCAGATTAACACAAGATAATTGTTCTAATTAAGCGAAGGAATGAGTGATCAGAAAAGGAAAAGTAGCCCCATGTGACTTGAGTCGCTCAACGATTAGTTGACAAGGAACTTCAGAGGATTCATTAGTATATATAGTTGGGTTTGGACTTGAGAAAGGGTTAAGTAACTTTTCTTGAAAGGTTTATCAATGGAGGCCCCTTGCTTCTCAAAATGCTAGGATCTGTCCTTGTTTTCTTTTATTTGTTCTGTTTTGAGTCTAATTTTGGATCTAAAGGTCTTGTTTACTCTTGTTGATTAATATAATTGTTGCAGAATTGCTTCTTCTCTGTTTTGTTGGGGCTTTTGTGTGGATTTGAACCTTTTGGCAGGAGTTTTCCATCAAATTTGTATCGAAGCTAAGGTGTAGTTAATGGTGAGTACTAGAGTGGAAAACAGAATTGATAGTTTAGGAAAGGAAATGGGTACTATTAAGGAAGATTTGGGAAGTGTTAAGGATTACTTACTTGAGCTACGAGTACGGTTGCGATTGAGGGAGGAATGAGAAGAGGTGCGAAATCGTGAGAAGGAGAAATCAGCATCATCGGAGAGTCAAAACAGTGGGCAAGATCGATTCAAAAGTGGTGAGACGTGGAAAGAGGACAAGAGGATTAAAAAGCTTGAGTTGCCAATTTTTAATGGAGATGATCCATATGGGTGGACCTTCAGGGTATGTCACTTCTTTGATATCAACCATTACGAAGAAACTGAGATGGTGGAGGCCGTCGCCGTGTGCATGGAGGGGAGGGCACTCTATTGGTACCAGTGGGTGGACTCTCGAACACCAATCCATTCCTAGGGAGCCTTCAAAATGGCTCTTCTCACCAAATTTTGTCCATCTTTCCAAGGGATAGCTTATGAGGCGTTGGTGGCCTTGAAATAGACGGCGTCTGTGATGGAATTCTGAGAAGAATTTGAAGCTCATGCCACACTGTTGAAAGAGAGAGGAGAGGAGCTGTTAATGGGGATTTTTATCAACATGCTTAAAGAAGAATTGAGAGTTGAGTTGCGTTTGATGAAACCAAATAATTTGTTTGGGGTTATGGAGCAGGCCCACATGATTGAAGAAAAGAATTGGGTGTTAGAAAGGGCCAAGCCCAAATTCAATAAGATCTAAAGTGTAAAGGGAAAATTATTCAAGGGTGTCTTAGAGCCCATAAGTGGGGCAACCGGGTTAGTGGCCCAATGCCTCTAAAAACTCAGAACAGGGATTCTCTTCTTCAAATCAAACTCCCGACCGAAAAGAAAAATTGCTGGAGACGGCAGCTTCGAGCTACAAAGGGGACAATTTTCGATGACTGACAGAAGAAGACATACAGTATAAGAGGGAAACAGGTTTGTGTTTCTATTGTGATAAAAAGTTCAGCCCAAATCACAAGTGCAAGAGTAAATCTCTCCAAATCCTCTTAGCATTTAATGATGAAGAATCAGAGAAAGAAGCGTCAGCCACAGAATCAGATGAGTAATCGACGGTGGAAGGTATTCCTATCAACAAAACTATTTTCATGAATCCATCTTGAGGATCACTTCAGATAAAACATTTAAAATTAAGGGGAGTATTGGGGAAGAAGAAGTGATTGTGTTGGTGGACAGTGGAGCCACTCACAACTTCGTTTCACGTGAGTTGGTGCAAAAATTGGGGTTAGAAACTGAGAAGGGAAAGTCGTTTGGTGTGATGGTGGACAATGGAGTCACGGTGAAGGTAAAAGGGTATGTAAAAATGTCCAAATGAAAGTTCAATGAGTCAGAATTAACCAGGATTTTTTCCAATTTGATATGGGGGGAGCTGATACAGTGTTAGGAATCACTTGGTTGAGCTCGTTGGGGGATGTCTATGCTAATTGGAAGAACTTAACCAGGAAATTTGAAGTGGAGGGTAAAAGGGTGACGTTAGAGGGAGATCCTTCTTTGATCAAGATAGTGGTGTCCCTTAGAACTATGTTGAAGATAATATAGACTTTAAGAGTTGGGTATTTGGTGGAATTCTGTTCTATAGAATATAAGTCAGACCAGTTTGGGGAACCTATGGATCGAAGAGTAGCTTTGGTCTTGAAAGAATTCAGCCACTTGTTAAATCAACCAGCGAGATTACCACCCCCTAAGCAGCAAGATCATGCCATTGTGCTAAAACAATGAGCCTAACTACCCAATATCAGACCCTATAGGTACCTTTACTTTCAAAAGAATGAAATTGAGAGATTAGTGGGAGAGATGTTAGTAGTGGGGATTATCCAACCTAGCACCAGTCCCTTTTTAAGTCTAGTTTTGTTGGTTAAAAAAAAAAAAAAAAAAAAAAAAAAGATGGGAGTTGTCGTTTTTGCATTGACTATAGGGCTTTTAATATCATTACCATACTTAACAAATTTCCTATACCCACATTTGAGGAGCTTTTGAATGAATTAGCTGGGGCTATTGTATTCTCCAAATGGGATTTAAAATCTAGATACCACTAGATTCGGGTTAAGCAAGGGGATGAACTAAAAACAACATTTAGAACCCAGGAAGGGCATTATGAGTTTTTGGTCATGCCTTTCAGCTTGACTAATGCACTCTCTCTACCTTTCAATGCTTGATGAACACTATCTTTAAACCTTTTCTAATGAAGTTTGTGCTAGTCTTTTTTGATGACATATTGGTCTTTAGCCTAGATTTAGACTCCCATCTTCTTCTTCTTCGTCTCCATCAAACCTTCAGCATCCTACAAGAGAATGAGTTGGTGGTTGACAAGATGAAGTGTCTTTTTGGTCAGAGAAAGTATTTAAGGCATTTGATTTCTGAAAATGGAGTGGAAGTGATCCCCAAAAGGTCGATTCGATGCTTTCTTGGCCTGTCCCTAGCAATGTGAAGAACTTGAGGGGATTTTTGGGACTTATCGAGTATTACAGACAATTTGTCAATTGTTATGGGACAATTGCACAACCCTTAACTCAGCTGCTCAAAAAAGATTCCTTCGGGTGGAATGAGGAAGCCCAACAAGCTTTTAATAAGCTTAAGATAGCCATGGCCACCATACCTGTTTTGGCAATCCAAATTTCAATATTCCTTCGAAGTACAAACTGATGCTTTAGGTTTTGGCATAGGAGTTTCTTAGTGCAAGCATCTCGACCCATTGCCTTTTTGATTAAAGCTTTCTCCCCCAATCCAAGCAAAAATTCATGTACGAGCAAGACCTTATGGTTATAGTCTTTGCGAAATGGAGTCACTATCTCTTGGGTAGAAAGTTTGTGATTAAAACGGATCAAAATGTCTCCAGTTTCTTATCGATCAGCGGGTAAAAACTCTTGAACAATAGAAGTGGATAGCCAAACTCATGGTATATTCATTTGAAATTCATTACTACCTTGGAAACACCAATTGGGTAGTGAATGCTTTGTCTTGAAGGGAGGATGCAACAACCTTGAATGCAACTTATGTAGTCAAATTTTCAAAATATGAGGATTTGGCAGCTGAGGCCCATAAGGATCCTAAACTTTAGGTCATTATTCAGGATGTGATAGTGGAACCACATTACAAGTTTCAGCATGGGTGTTTGTTATAAAAATACCTATTGGTTCTCCTTAAGGGCTCTCGGTTCATCACCAATGGAAGAGTTTCATTGCAACCCTCGGAGAGGTCATTCAAGATTCTATAGAACTTATAAAAGGGTGGCTAATATAGCATTTTGGGAGGGGATTAGATCAAATGTTCAGAATTTTGTCAAGAATTGTGCCACTTGCCAACTTAGCAAGCATTCAACCTTAAAGCCTTCAAGGCTACTTCGAAGACCTCACAATGGACTTCGTTGGGGGTTTGCCGCGAGCTAAAAGGTATGACACTATCTTAGTTGTGGTGTACAGGCTTACCAGATTCAATCATTTCATTCCGTTGTCCCACCTTTATAACGCCAAGGATGTATCATCAGTGTTTGTAAAGGAGATTGTGAAATTGGATAGGTTTCCTCAATCTATAGTGACAGACAGAGATAGGGTTTTTATGAGCCACTTTTGGCAAAAGATTTTTAAAGTTGCAGGTACAAATCTAAAATTCAGCTTAGCCTATCACCCTCTGTTAGTTCAGTTGGGAAGATGATCAGAGTAAAATGAGAGATTGCAATGGAAAGAGACGACAAGAATTGAGAGTTTTTCTCTCTACATTTTCATTCATTGAACAAAGACAAATATACAAGAAGATATCACTGTTTTACCTACTGCAATACATTAAAATATTACATTTGAATTTTAACAAAAACATACACCAAATCAAGTCTTAATCTCAACTACACATGTCATAAACAACTTAACTTGATTGGCCTAATATCTGCTACACAACCATTATAGCCTAACAAAACAAAAACAGAAACTTTGGCTCCAAAATACAATTTAAACCTTCAATCGGATTTTGACCCATTTCCAGCAGGTTATCACCAACTTCATCACTCCTCCTTGATAAACTTGTTGGAAACACCAAGTTTAAGTCTCAAACTCTCAAACTCGGTTTTAGATAGGCCCTTGGTCATAATATCCGTAATTTGTTCTTCACCCCTGCAGTGGACTAATTTCACTTCAGCATTACTTTCTACTTCTCTCACCGCATGGAATTTAATTTTGATGTGTTTTGTTTTGCCGTGTAAGATTGGATTCTTTGCCATTGCAACAGTTGACTGATTGTCACAAAATATCACAGTTGGTTCTTCTTGAATTTGCCTCAAATCTTGCATAATCTTCCTCAGCCATATATTCTGGTTTACTATGGCAGCAGCAGAAATGTATTCTGCTTCTACCGTAGACTTGAGCAGTGGTTTCTTGCTTCTTGGAATGCCAACATATGGCTCTTGAATTTAAGAAGAAAACATAACCTAATGTACTCCTCATATCATCAATGCATCCAGCCCAATCACTATCTAAGTACCCAATAAGTTGAAGGTTTTCAGTCTTCTTGAACCATATTCCAAGCTCAGCACTTCCTTTGACATACCTTAGCACCCTCTTGGCTGCCTTGAGATGGATTTCACTCGGGCTGGTCATGAATCTAGAGAGAACACTGGTTGCAAACATCAAATCTGGTCTGGTGGCAGTCAAATACAGTACACAACCAATCACACTTCTATACATTTTCTCATCAACTTTCTCAGCCCCATCATCCTTGCTCAGCTTCAAATTTACAACCAATGTTGTGTCCACTGGTTTGCATCTGTCCATGTCAAACTTATGCAGAATTTCATTGGCAAACCTCATTTGATTAACAAATATGCCATTGTGACTTTGGTGGATCTCCATTCTAAGAAAATAGGATATCTCCCCAAGGTCAGTCATCTCAAACTCATTGTGCATGGCCATTTTAAACTCCTCAAGTTGAATTGAGCTGCTTCCCATGATGAGTAAGTCATCAACATACAATGACACTAGTGAATTCACTTTCCAGCCTTCTCACATATAGTGTGTGTTCATTAACACTCCTTGAATATCCTAAGCTGATCAAATACTCATTAATTCTACTGTACCAGGCTCTAGGAGCCTGTTTTAGGCCATATAGGGCATTTCTCAACAAATAGACCTTATGCTCCTACCCTTCCACTTCATAGCCCTCCGGTTGTTCCACATAGATTTCCTCATTGAGCCAACCATTTAGGAAGGCTGATTTGACATCCAGTTGATAGATTTTTCATTCAAATTGGGCTGCCAAGGCAAGGAGAAGCCTAATTGTATCATGCCTAGCCACGGGTGCAAAAGTATCCGAGAAGTCCACTCCAAATTGTTAAGCAAACCCATTGACTACTAATCTTGCTTTATGTTTGTACACAGATCCATCAGGCCTCAGCTTCTTTTTATAAATCCATTTTGCTTGCATTACTCTTCTAGTAGTTGGTCTGTCAACCAATTCCCATGTGCCATTCTTTTCAATCATTTTTATCTCCTCCTCCATTGCATTCTTCTAGACCTCTAACTTAGCAGCCTCCCTGAAATTTGTAGGCTCAAGCAAGGCTGCATTGCATCTTTCATAAACCTCTGCCAGAGACCTTGTACCGCTGATTGGAAAATCATCATCTAAATCTGCCTCTTCTGGATCATCAAATCTGCCTGCTGTTGTGTCTGCAATCTGCTTTCTTGTGTCTTCTTTAGCTTCATTTTTCTTCCAGTTCCAGATCCTTCTTTCATCTACTTTCACATCTCTAGTGATGTGATTTTCCTGGTTCCTGGAACATAAACTCTATAGGCCTTGGACTGCTGACTGTACCCTATAAAAATCCCTGTCATATCCTTCTCATCCAACTTGCTTCTCTTAGCTGCTGGAATGAGTGCATAGCACACACTCCCAAAGATTTTCAGATTTCTAACCAAAGGCTTCACTCCATACCAGGCCTCATAGGGTATTTGATTAGTTAAGGCCTTAGTAGGGAGTCTATTAAGCAATGCATTTACAGCTTCTGCCCAAAAGGATTTGGGCAACTTCTTCTCAGCAACCATGCACTTGGCCATCTCCATGATAGTCATATTCTTCCTCTCACTGACTCCATTTTGCTGTGGAGTATATGGACTACTGATCTGGTGCACAATTCCAGCTTGCTTGCAGATTTTCTCAAATTTAGTGGAGGTATACTCACTCCCATTGTCACTTTTGACAATCTTAATGCTTAGACCAGTTTGTTTTTCAATCTGCAGTTTAAACCTTTCAAACACCATTGCAACTTCACTCTTCTGTTTCAAAAAATAAACCCAGCACATCTGGGAGTAGTCATCAATGAAAAGGATAAAATATTTGCTTCCATTTAGGGATGGTGTTTGCATAGGTCCACACACATCCGTGTGGATAAGCTGGAGCTTTTCAGTAGCTCTCCAGGCTTTGTTTACAGGGAATGATAGTCTACTCATCTTGCCAAGTTGACAGGTAGCACATATAGATTTGGTTTTTACAATTTCAGGTAGATTATAGACCAACTCTTTGGTCTGAATTTCCCTAAGGCTATGATAATTGAAGTGGCCTAATATTTTGTGACACAATTCTGACTCATCCACGTCAACAACATATGCTTCTGATTCTAGTTTTTTCAGCCTAATAGTGAAGCTTTTTCCCATCATTCTAACCTTCATTAACTCATTGCCTTCACTATTTAGGATTGTGCAAAACTGATCCTGGAAGTGCAGGGCATACCTCTTTTCTATCATCTGTCCAACACTCAACAAGTTATGTCTTATATTAGGCACATACAAAACATTTGGGATAAGTTTGATACCTGAATTTGTTTGCACAACAATATCACTTCTCTTTTTGACAACCACAAACTCCCCATTTCCAACTTTAACTTTGGATTGGTATGACTTGTCTAAATTCACAAAGTCCTCCAGGTTTGCTGTCTTATGATTGGTACACCAACTGTCTATCAGGCAATCATCACTGTGAGCTTGAACTGCACAGCATGAAGCCATAAATAGTTGCTCAGAATCTGAGTTTGGCTGCTGGTCTTCAACGATCTGTGCTTGCTGTGTTGACTGATTTGGTTTGTTTTTGCACACCTTCTCAATGTGACCATATTGTTTGCATGCTCTACATTGGATGTTAGGCCCGAACCAGCACCTTTTTTCAATATGCCTCTTCTTCTTGCAGTGAGCACACGGTGGAAACTCTCTCATTCCACTTGGTTTGCTCCACTGGTTGGCCATCTTCTCCTTTCCTTTATTTTCTCCCGCAGACCTCTTGCTTCCACCTTGACCTGGTTTGCTTTTGAATCCTGCCACCATAGCACCCTCACTCGAGTCCTCTTGCCTCAACAATCTCCTTAGCTCTTGAGCTTGCAAGGCATACACTAAATCGGTGTGAGTGATTTGTGTCAAGTCCTTAGAATCCTCAAGTGAGGATATCTTAGATTCAAACCTTTCGGGTAGACTAACTAGGACCTTTTCCACTATCCTTTTATCTATCATCTCTTTTCCCATTAATCTGATTTTATTCATTACATTCATCAACCTATCCACATATTCCTTTATTGATTATGACTCCTACATTTTCAACATTTCAAACTCCCTCCTTAGGTTCAACACCTGCATGTTCTTGGTTGTATCACTGCCACCGAACTCCTCTTTGAGTTTATCCCATGCTTCCTTGGCTGACACATATGCCATGATTCTTGTAAACACCTGTTCAGTCACTGCTACATGGATATGAGACAAGGCTCTAGGTGATTTGGTGGCTTCTTCATCATGGAACCTGATCTGGTTTAGAGTGGGGTTTGGCCTCAACACTGGTGGTTGTTTATCCTCTTCAACATACTGCCACAAACCTTGTTCCCTTAGGAAGGTTTTCATTTTGACAGCCTAAATGTGATATTGATCACCATTGAAGGTTGGAGGAGTAAGGGAGGTTGTGTGTTGTGCCATTTAGTCAGGCTGAGTGGACCTAGATAGGTGGTTTTACCGTAACAGAGGTTGAGAAAGTGAGTGAGGAGATGAGTTTATCAGTCCCTTAAGATCAGTGGTGCCCTGATACCAATTGTTAGTTCAGTTGGGAAGATGATCAGAGTAAAAATGAGAGATTGCAATGGAAAGAGACGACAAGAATTGAGAGTTTTTCTCTCTGCATTTTCATTCATTGAACAGAGACAAATATACAACAAGATATCACTATTTTACCTACTGCAATACATTAAAATATTACATCTGAATTTTAACAAAAACATACACCAAATCAAGTCTTAATCTCAACTACACATGTCATAAACAACTTAACTTGATTGGCCTAATATCTGCTCCACAACCACTGCAGCCTAACAAAACAAAAACAGAAACTTTGGCTCCAAAATACAATTTAAACCTTCAGCCGGATTTTGGCCCATTTCCAGCAGGTTATCACCAACTTCATCACCCCCAAACCGATGGCCAAACAAAGGTGGTCAATCGGTGTCTAGAAGCTTATTTGCGGTGTTTCTGCAGCTCCCAACCAAAAGAATGACCTTCTTGGCTTTTGTGGGCAGAATATTGGTACAATACCATGTACCATCGTTCAACAAAGATGACTCCTTTTAAAGCCTTATATGGTCACGATGCTTCTCTCTTACTCAAGCTTATTGATTTTCCTTCATTCGTTGAAGATGTCAACCGACAATTGTTGGAAAGAAACTCCATCCTCAATCAACTCAAGCATAATTTGGCAATGGCACAAGGCCACGTGAAGGCACAAGCGAACTCACATCGGAGGGATGTCCACTTTTAACTTAGTGATTTAGTATATTTCAGCCTTACAAGTTCAAATCTTTAGCCAAGAAACTGAATGAAAAACTCAATCCCCGGTTTTATGGGCCATTCATGGTATTGGAGAAGATTGATCAGCTAGCCTATAGGCTGGATCTCCCTTTTACATCTTGTTTTCCATGTCTCTCGGCTTAAGCAAAATCCACATAGTTAAGTCCCCATTCAACCGCTGCCTTCTTTCCTTTCCGAAGATTTGGAACTCTAGGTTCAACCAAATTCAGTCCTGGCAGTACGCTCTTTAATGGATGGAACTAAAGAAGTCTTCATTCAGTGGGAAGACCTTTTTCCTTTCGAATCCACATGGGAATCTTATGACGTGATTGCCTAACAATTTCCTTACTTCCACCTTAGGGACAAGGTGGCACTTCAAGGGAGGGCTATTGATAGACCTCTTATTACTAAAGTCTACCAATTGAAGGGGCATAAAGGGCACAAAGGATACAGAAGGGTTAGGAGTGTGAATGAGCTTTAGTGGGGAGTTAGTTAAGAGAATATCCACGTGGCAGATTTGTTAAGGGGATATTTTAGAGGATTCATTAGTATATAAAGTTGGGTTTAAGACTTGCGAAAGGGTTAAGTAATTTTTCTTGAAAGGTTTATCAATGGAGGTCCCTAGCTCCTCGAAATGCTAGGATCTATCCTTGTTTTCTTTTATTTGTTCTGTTTTGAGTCTCTTTTTGGATCTAAAGGTCTTGTTTACTCTTGTTGATTAATATAATTGTTGCAGAATTGCTTCTTCTCTGTTTTGCTGGTGCGTTTGTGTGGATTTGAACCTTTTGGCAAGAGTTTTCCATCACATTGATAAATGATAATACTGATTTAGTGAATTATCATCTGCTGTTAGTGTTGTTTTCATACTTGTTGGAATTATTATTGAATGGATAATTGATTCCAAACCATTATTATCTTATTATTACAGTTATTATTACAGATTTATAGTAGATGAAATTGTATTATCAAACACCACCCACTTGATACTCAATTCCAATGGGAAATAAAAATCCCAATTTTCATCCTCAATGTAGTCACTTAAAATAAATAATCTTCATTTACTTGTCATGTGGTCATTGTTTTGACATTTTTACTGCAATAAT